TGAAGTTTAGAGACCTTTGTTTATTAGTTTTGGTAAAAATTAAGTAAAAAAGTTCCACCATTTAGCAACTCCATACACAGTACCAACATTGTAGAGTAAAGAGCAATTAACCACATGTATAATAATTTAGGGCCTGTGTTGTGCAAATTAACATTAGGAATATGGTCAAACGCTATTATAATTAACTATCACGACTGACATTTCGTCCTTCTCAGGACTAAAAATAAACTCTTGAAAAAATTGCTCTTTCATACAATTTTCAATTTTCAATATATTCCTGATCAGTGTATTTTAAATAACAATACCACTCACGAATTGAAGCATTCTGAAAATCTTTCCAAACATAATTAAATGCAGATCATCTTCTAGATGTCATTGTTTTGTGCCTAGTAATTCTGTAAGTATATCTTTAAGAACATTTTTTTTAAGTAAAGAGATATTTGTTTTCTTTATGTTATTAATTACTGAAAGTCATACAAAGACTTACAGCAGACAACCGTTACTTGATATGAGTTTTAAAAGACCACCATGTTGCTTGAAATGATAGAGTATGAAATGTGATCATTATTTTACAAAATACTACACAGCATTCGTGTTGTCTGGATAATCTAGTCTAAGGTTAAAAATTGCATAGCATTCAGCATGTTTCGCACGTATGATAAATTTTATATATGTAAGCCATCTAACTGGAGTTTATCCATCTTCGTTGGAAATACAATCCTCAACAATCTTCTTTAGATTTGGGTTCTCCATTGCTGCCGCTATGCGCTCCTTGTCATTTATCTGTTTGTTGACTAGGGAGATAAACAAAATATCATTTTACAAAGATATATTGCAGATACTTCAAGAAGAAAGTACAGGTTTTAAACCACATCCAGAAGAAAACAATAATTTGGATGTAAACAGGCATTCACTTAGCTTATACAAAATCAGCAACCTACACTGGAGTGACTACAAGTAGTACTTTGTGAAAAAAAATTGTAATTAATAACTTGAGGAGTTGTGGCAAAAGTACATGTATAATTAAAGACAATGTTAGTCAAAACATTTGCTTTTGAGGCTGATAATCATATGGCATTTTCCTTTAATTTTACTTCACATAATGGCTAACATGATACATGTAATACCAATTTATAACATACTTTCATCCTCAGTTGAATGAGTTCCCTTGGAAAGGAAGATATCAAGCTGCAAATAAAAAAAAACATTTTTAAATGTGTTATCAGAATTTGAACTACTGACTATTCCCTCCTAAGAACTTACTCATTTCCAGGAGGGTTGGAATTAAATATCAAGTTTATTTTGCATCCCAGCAAAACAAATACAACGTAGGGAATAATGAAGGGGGGCATGTAATTAAGGGTCTTTTCTTCTCGTGTCAATTCACCTTGAAATCTCATGAGTGAGAGCAGCAAACAAGTGAGGTATTGATTTGAACATGAGAAGATAAATTCCATACTTACAAGCAACTATGTATTATTTTGTTTATTATATAATCAGCATAGGCCTTTCCTGACAAGAAAATTCAACAAAGGACCTTGAATTTAGAATGGTGAATGCTTTGCCATTCATTTGTCAAACTGACAGAGTGGTGCAAAAGGTAAGCAATGTGAAAGCAGCTGATTGGCAATATCAAACAAATAAAAAATTATCCCAAATTTATGCATTTCCTCAAGGCTGGAAATCCTTGTTAAACACTGTAATTTATACGCTAAACAATAATATTGCACAGTATATTTCAGATTCACTATCTCCTTAGTTTGATGTTGTCTTCTTTTCTTACTTGTGTCTTAAGTTTATTAATTTGTAAAATATAATCAACCAATGAGGGAAATCTAAGCACAGTGAAGTAATATAACATTGATCAGAATTTTATATTGGATTTTTTTAACAACTTGGTCTCATTTTACACTTAACTTTATGGTAACATAAACTGAGATTTGTTATGCAAAGGGCTGTTTTAGTCAGATGTCTTTATCAGTAGTTCTCTCTGGTATTATAGAAATGAGATTAAAATAACAAAGCTCACCTTAAACTTGTAAGGTAATGAACGCTCCAATTTAACCCTCAAACATAGACCTGTAAAAGAAACAGTGGGCTAATGATAAATCGTCTTGGCATCCTCCTGGATCAAGTTAATTGTTCATTTTAAGACAATTTTTGGAAAGTTAGGTTATTCCATGGAATCCCTAAAGGCAGTCTGTGATATAATTTCAAATACATTGAAATGGTAGAGTTCACAATAAACTCTATGTTGCCATCTGTCTGTTCTGTATTAGATCCCAGATGAAATGAAAATGTGGTTACAAAAGAGTTACACACAAAGGTGCAGACTAGTGTGTCACTGCTGTTTTTACCACATTTTTATGTCTTCTGTGATCTATTACTGTACAGACCCGCAGTAACAAAAAAATTTGCTCTTTTTCAGCACCAAAAGGATAATCAAATCAGTCCTCTCAGAGACCATAAGTAGGAACCATTAAAATACGTAATTCACTTATTTTATGAATTAAATTGTAACATTTCTGGAGCAAACCTCTTTAATAGCTCATCCTACTAAGGGGAGGGAATTAATATGGCTGCATAGAATCACAGGACAAAATTCAAGAGTAGCTAACTCACCAATGAGGGTTGCAAGGGAACAGTGAGGAACAGTGGGTTTGAATTCTATTTGTATGCTGTATACATCATCTCCAAACTTGTTAATTCTAATATATTCCTCTTCAATGACATTCAGCTCCTCTAGAGTTTGTGGTAACTCAGGGTCCTTCATCAAGAAAAGAAATAATTAAAATTTCTACATCATTGAAGCAGAAACAAGCCTTAAACCAGTAATATACATGCTCCAATGCTCCAGCTTCATATAAGCACTCTGTTTGGAATAAGAGTACTATTGATGTTTAGCCTTTGATTCCCAAGATCTGATTGTTAAGTCTCCCCTCTGGCAACTACACATTTCCATGTAAAATTAGTTACGAGAATGTGGTTTTAGATCAACATGACAAATTCTTCCTGATAAGTTTGAGTGTTCTCACAACCTGTTTACTGGATAATGTATGGATATTATAGGGAGAAATAACATGTTTATCACTTCTGGGAGTTAGATGAGCAAGAGAATTTGTATCGCTACCTAATCAAATCTAAAAAGCTCTGATTTCCAAAGATTTTTCAAACATTTTTCAAAACAGTTGAAACATTCCTACATATCACCCTCTCCAGTAGTCTTCCTGATGACATCCAAGGTTTGGGAAAGTGTGACTATTTACAATGACTTCTCTTTTTGAGGATTGATTCAAGCTTAATTTATCTTGCATAATTTTAATCAAGGCTAAAATTATGCTTGTTTTCTTCGTTAAGATGGGAAACAGAAGGCACTAGCTGGTGCAAGATGGAACTGTTGATGCAGGAAAATCATGCCTAAGATGTGAGAAGAATTAAGTATGTTCAACAACACACATCACCCTCTCTTATAAGTCAAATAACTGTTCAACTGGCTGGCTGTCTGACTGGCAGATGAAAAAAAAAAACAGAAAATTTAACCCCTGGTTACTTAATCTTCAAAGTGCACTGACAAGATGGACCCCATCAAGATAGACCTCTGGGACCTTGAATTCTGTAGCTGTCCTACAGACTTACATACAGTGGCAGTCAACAGGCCAAATAATGGATTATCAGTCTGTTTGTCTGGATGAGAAACTGATAAGGGAGGTATTTTGCATCAAAATAACTAAATTCTGTTTCCAATACCTGACTGGGTTTCCATCACTCAGCTATGTGCAATATCAAATTAACTTCTGTATTCTACTTACCTTTATACCTTTAACAATATCTAAACAAAATATAATAATAAAATAAATTAGGTCACAGAAATTGAATATTAAGATTAAGTGAACTTTGTACTGAGTAAATTATAATATGGGTATAGCTTAACTTCCCTGATGTTTAGCTCACTTTTGTGAGTTCTCCAAATGCAAAATCAATTTTTTTAATCAAGGTTTTTGTTATTTTTTCCAAGTACAAGAAAAGTGTTATGAATGTTGTTTCCTTGATCCTTTTACTCCCAATATCTCATTAAAGATTCTATCATTACCGATAAAAGCTTCTAATTTATGTGGGAATTTTGTAGTTCATCGAAAAATATCCTAGCTAATAACTTTTTCTCTTCTCATCACCTTTCAGCTTTGAAATGTATTAAAAATGAGGTGAGAAATTCATACTTGTTCAATCCTTGGAGTCAAAAGGTTCTAAAAGCTAATCTCCACGTCGTTTCAAAAAAAATTAGTTTCCGTACTTGCGGTCACGAACAGATTGAATAGTACTGTACAAGTTTGTTTGTCTTGTATTGAGCATTTTTTGCCACAAAGGAGGCACAGTTAACACAAATATTACCAAAGATTTCTTGAACAAGTTCCAGGTTAACTGCGTCACCCTCACAGTCAGCAGCATGACTCAGATTTTCAGACATACCAGTGCTTACAAATTCGTCGCCATCTTGAATTTATTGTCCAATACGACGGGAAGACTGGGGCTAGTAAGAATATTGGTTACCAATGGTGAGAATCGTTATCATTACATAATTATTTATTCTTGTATTCATTTACCTAATTTTCCATTTCATTTATTCGTTTCCCATTGTTTCTTTCATTTTTAACGGTAACGCGGGGAAACGAATAATGAAATGGAAAATTAAGTAAATGAATCCAAGAAGAAATAATTATGTAATGAACAAGTTAAAAGGTTGAAGAATAGATAGCTAAATGAAACAATCAGCGAATGATTGGAGAAATAAACGAACATATGAATTGACTGATTAATGAAGCATTCGTTGCATACAGAGCCATTCTTAGTCTCTACCCAGACCTTCCACGGCCAAGAAAATTTCAATTACAGTTTACACAGTAGGATCTAGGTACGAGTTCAAGCCCTTCATAGGGACCGGTCATTATTTATCCCCTGGGGAGAAGAAGAGGGCTGGGTCGGAAGATTTTGGTTGAGGTACGAAAAAAGACTTTCCTAATCCCCCATCAGGTTCTGTAATATTCTCATGCTCCCCCCCCCCCCCCATTGGCAGTTAATTGGCAGTCAATTTTCCTTTAGTCCCCCCCCCCCCCCCTTCCCTTTATAATTCTTGGTCATAATTCATACCTTCCTTAAATTCAGGCTTTTTCAGGCGACTATTGAAACTGTAAGTTTTCAAAAGTTTTATTTCGGTCGACTTTCCTAGCCAGGCAGCCAAAATTTTTTCATGTATTTATTTAAAGAAATATAAGGTTTACAAAACTTCATGTCCTGCAAATAGCTACAATGTTAATCTAGGCAGGACAAGACTTTAACCTTTAGACTTTAGACAAGACTTTAACCGGTAGCCTCCAGGACGTGTTTTGAAAAGCTTGGAACATCTGTCTCCCCATATTCGTTTTATCAATGAAAAGTTTCGTAACAACCTCAAACACAAATACCTGCTAAAAAATTTAGCATATATAGAATATAATCTGACGGTAATCACCATTTTTCTTTTTTCACACACGTCCAAAAAATTCATTTTTTCTGTTTATACCTGACATCTTTCGATTCTAGGTCAATTTCCCTTCCCGGTTGGGAGATTTCATCACTGTTAACATTTGCTGTTTCTGAAGTTCTGGTTTCTTTAGAAAATATACCAAACCGGCAATGATTCTGGAAGTTGTCTGAACTGAGACACAGTTCTTATCCTATCATTTCTTGCCGACTTAAACGTAGACGAATAGTGCCTAATTATATGTCTCATTTATTTGAACAATTTTTATTTAACACTACCGTTATTATTTCCATCATTTGAGAGGCATTCTTAGGTCATTAACTTCAACTTCCTGACATTAAAATATTCAGCTCGTGTTCCACCTATTTCATTTTAATCGAGTTCTAGTTAGTGTTTGAATGATGTGTTTTACATTTTGGTATCCATAACGCTCTGTTCAAAAGCCACATTACGATTAAACGCAGGTTTCCCACGGCAACTAGAATGAATGTTAGCGTTAAAGCGCTGCACAATGCAATGCCTTCCCCCTGAGTGCCATCAAATGCATCATTTGTATCGTTTCGTCGGCTGACACTAGCAGAAGATGACGAAGACGTTTTGTTCATTTTGAGATGATACTGAGACAACGATGAAGAAGCTAGGGTACAACATATGTTTTATGCCTCTACTGTTCACTGACCAATTACGAATGCAAGCACTCCACTGACTGTGACATTTTACTGATGGCAGAGATCGCCCACTGAGTTGCGGAGGAGGAAGTTCTATTCTCTTTGTAAATTTCTCTTGTTGAGAGATCTTTATGACCGTTATTACTGAAAAGTAATAGGTGACATAGGTGCATATTTTGACAGGCAAATGCAGCTGTCACTTAAAAGTGTTTATTTCCCCACAGCATGGTGCTTGTGTAAATGTGCCCGTTTGGTGAGCCATTGTGAAATAGATGTAGAGCTCTCGCCGCCGTTTGTTTATCCTGCAAACAAGCCTTGTGTTTGGATTTTGCCTTGCGGCACAGACAAGGGTGCCGTTTATTGCAAAAAGTTATTAAAAACCCTGCTGATCTCAGTAAGATGTCGAACTTGGTCTATTACCAATTAAACTTTTCAAATCTTTGCTACAGAAAAAAAAAGAAGAAATGAAAACCTGCAATTCACTGAGAAAAGGTTCGATTTTGTATAAACTCCCGGCTTCAAAATTGGACAAATGAATAAAGGGGTAAGTTTTTAAAGAAACTTTGGTGCTGCGTCGGTGGGAGAGTATATCAGGTAATTTAGTGTTAATAACTGAGTTAAAAACGTAAATTAGCCACCGTAAAAGGTGAAAAGAAATTAGTAAAATTAGCCACCTTTACGGTGGCTAATTTACGTTTTCAACTCAGTTGTTAACACTAAAATACCTCCAAAATTGGACGTTCGCATTAGAAACTGAAAAAACGGTGAGAGTTTCTACGAAGTTAAGCTAGCCATTGGTGACCACCTTTATAACACAGAAGACCAACCTAAGTCGTCGAGCAGTCCCTCATTCACAGCAATATCCGTTGCGTGAGTCAACAGATATAGGCGCAAAAAAAACAAAAAAATACTCGATGCTGCGGAAATTCTGGGAAGAAAATCAACGCTCTACGATCAAAATTTTAAGCGCATCTTTGCCAAAAAATCTCAATTGCATTGCACTGAAGTGCTGTGTTATTTTTTTCCTTTTTTAGCCCCTTCAGGTCGTTAAAATCCTCCCTCGGTTGAATTATTCTTCAACCGTTAGCTTTGAAGCGTCTCAAGCTGAATTTGGAAAGCCAAGTACAGTCCAACCTGCATGTATTACGCGGCACCGTATTAAGCGGTCACCCTGTATCTAACGGTCGGTTTTCAAAGTCCCGAAATTTGTTGCCCTTTACTACTGTAATTTCTCAACTCTATTAAGCGTCACCTCTGTTAAGCGGTCGTGCTCACCCTTCACTGAGTCCTTGCGGCTTGTTTGTATTATTTTCCACTTGTATTGAACGGTCACTGAGAGCGGAACCGTACAGCTCGAACTAAGCGAAGAATTCTCTTTCAAGCAAAATTTCATCCATTTATTATTTATTTTTTTTTTTACATGAAGTGGTCAGCAAAAGAATGTAAAAACATTCTCTTCGTTGTCACTTATGACATAAAATGGTGTTTTTATCGTTTTTTATAACATCTCTATTCTGTGGGACCTGTATTTAAGCGGACAACCTGATTTAAGCGGTCAATCCGCCATTCCCCGTTAAATACAGGTTTGACTGTATTACCAACTGCGTTTCTTGACGGTCTCCAATCAATCTCTAACTTGCTGATAATTTCATCCTTCAGAAAGCTATTAATATGTTCGTGCTATTTAGGGTAACGGGTACAGAGTAGAAACTGTCTTCCTGTAATGCTATTTTTTATTGACTCATGTTCAAATAGTTTATCTAAGGATATATTTCCTCTGGAACCTTCCGTGAATTCAAGCTTTTTCAGGCGACTATTGAAACTGTAAGTTGTCAAAAGTTTTATTCCGGTCTACTTTCCTAGCCTCCAGGATATGTTTGAAAAGCTTGGAACATCTGTCCCTTCATATTCATTTAATTTATGAAAAGTTTCCTAAAAACCTCAAACATAAATACCTGACGGTAATAACTCTTTTTTTTCACACACGTTCAAAAAACTGATGTCTTCTGTTTATACCCAACATCTGTCGATTCTAGCTAGGTCAATTTCCCATCCTGCTTAGGAGTTTTACGTAATGCACATGCGTCAGCGTGAGTCCTTGAAATGGTGAGATTTACATTTCAATGTAAAGATAAGTAGGAATTACTTTTTCCACTTCAAATTTTAACAACTGCATATGAATATCGAAGCGATAAAATGAATGATACATGCATCTTGATTGGTTCTTCGTTATAATGTATTGTCAGACTAGAGGGGGTATATATTAGTCATATATGACAATTATATTCCACGTTGCCGTGGATCTCTACAGTAATAGATTAGAGAAGATGTCAAAATAAGGAAAGAACGTGATTAATGATACCCTCGCCTCTGCCTCGTGTGTTACTTTTTTGTTCTTACCACATGATCGTATACTAATCTTATAGTAATCGTATACTTATCTTATAGTTTATATTTTGAACTGTTTCTTTTGTGATCGTACCCTATACCATAAGGTGTCTTTGTGCAGACACCTTTGGTACATCTGTTCGAGCTCTTTATCTTTACAAAATTCATTATCATGCAAATTAAAATTTTTTATATTACTTTTCTTCCTTGTCTAGTATATTTAACGAGAAATAGAAAGTCCTCACTTAGTATTATGCGTAAATGAGCAAGCATTTCTCCGTGTAAGTCAGCGATCAATGGGAGAAACTGGCAAACTATTCTCTTGTTTACTACCATCGGGCAAAGAGCCAGCGTTCCCGTTAATTTTACTGAGGTGAATCGACAATGAAAAAGACAGAAAACATACAACTATAAAACACGATGAAAAATAAAAAAATAAAGCAGAGGGGTCCATGTCATAAGAGCTGACGAAGCTGTATCCTGAAAATGGAATAAATCTACAACTTAATATCATAATTATATTTTGCGCTTTCTGCGATTCAAAGAGTCATTTTTCTTCCTTTTTTGCTGTTTCTGAAGTTCTGGTTACTTTAGAAAATATACCTAACCGGTAATGACCCTGGAAGTTGTCAACTAAGACACAGTTCTTAGCCTGTCATGTATTGCCGACTTAAATGTAGACGAATAGAGCCTAATTCTATGTCTCATTTATTTGAAGCTCGTGTTCTACCTATTTCATTTTAATCGAGCTCCAGCTAGTGTTTGAATTATGTATTTACAGTTTGGTATCCAGAACTTCCTGTTCGAAAGCCAGTTCACGACTAAACTCAATATCTATAACATCCTGTTCGAAAGCCAGTTCACGACTAAACTCAGCGGTCGTTCTGTGCCTCTCTTTCCTTCTTTTAGAAAGCTTTGTGTTTACAGCTGCTTGCA